CAGTTATGGTACCGCATAAAAGTTGGGATGGCATATATGCATTATTGTACAGACCCATGCCATGTACAGTACATTAATGCACGCACACACACACATGTACACACAGTACACACACATGTACATGCACACACATACACACACACACACGCACACATCAGTACGCTGCTAATATATTAATGCAACACACGTACATGTACGCACCCAACACAATAATAGTATTAGCTAAGCAGTATACTATATAGCTTGTACGTAGATACCCTATATATAGCTATAGCCCCACTGTGCTGAACCCTGCGATCACTAATGTTATATTATAACGGCATTGCACGCATCTAGATCCAACGCCAGCACAGTAAAAGGATCAGCCCGAAGAACCCGGGTCCAATTCACTAGATTTGCAGGAGGGAGCAAGTTCCTGGCCGCCATCGCAGCCGAGAAGACGCTAGACTGAACCATATTATATAGCTCGCTCCGGAGTCCGTACTATTAACGTTATATATATATATATATATATATATATATATATATACGCATGTATATATATATATATATAATGTATATGTGTTATATATATATATATATATATATATGTGATCATTCTTATATATATATATATATATATATATATATATATGTGGATGCATATATATGTTGATGTGCTATAACATATATATGTACTATTGCACACGACACACGTACATGTATATATACGTATATCACATACATAATATATATATATATATATGTACATGTACACACATGGCCAAGGTGCTGTGTCTGATGTGGCCATGGAGCTAGACATGGAGCTGGAGCAGGACCACTCCCGAGTTCCGGAAGATGAGGAGTACACACTCATTGACGTCATCCTTGTGGCCTACTTCCAGGAGCATGTGGGAAAGCTGGGCTCACCCGAGTCGTGCAAGCTGCCGGGGGCCAAAGACATCTACGACTTCGCGATGAGGTGCTTTAAAAGGGGAGAAGATGGAACGGTTTGCTTGGCAGCATGTGCTGCAGCTACGGGCATTGACCAGGTGGAGATGCAGCCTGCAGTGACGGCGGTCAATGCCGCATGGGCAGCGGCCAACGACTTCGGGGAGCTGAGCATCAAGCTGCACCAGTTGCAGGGATCGGCAACGGAGCAAGTGAAAGCGATGAAGGCGAAACTGGCCAAGACCCACTCCGGCCCGCAGCTGCAAAGCAAGGCGGGAGCCGCTGACATGTGGCTGGACAGCAAGCTGCAGGACATCGCTTCGCAATTTGATGCAAAAGATCGTGAGAAGTGGAGCTTCTTGAACGATGCCGCGACCGAGATCCTCCGTGTTTGGGTTCGGTGCCGAGACGGCACCGGGGAGCCAGAAACGGACACCCTCGTGAAGGGCAGCTCTCTGGATTCTTTGGCTGAGGACTTGGAGAACGAGCTCATGTTGCAGGCCCTTGAGGACAGTTTGACCGAGCAGATGGGGAACCTCTCTGTCGAAGACAAGACCAACAAGGAGGGCCGTACGAAGCTGTGTACATGTACTAAATAATATATATATATATATATATATATATATAATATACGTATATATATATATAATATACGTATATATATATATATATAATATACGTAAATATATATATATATATATATATACATGGTCACGTATACGATACATGTACGTACTTATATATAGTTCAAGATTATAACGTTAATCTTGAACTATATAAGTACGTACATGTATCGTATACATCGAGCAAAGGATCCAATATTATAATATGGTGTATACGTATTACTTAGACCCCCCAAAATACTATAATAAGTATATACGGAGAACGGTATTTGGACCTATATAAATGTATGTACTAGTTACCATATATACATATACATATATATGGTATGACAGTTGTCCTGCACATATATATATATATATGCATGGAGATTTAATAATAACCCACCCCTGCCATCACGCCTCGCCAAAATCCTGCAGGATCCAGCTGCAGCTTCGTCCTCCCAGCCCGGCACGGCCTTGGTTGGTGAGAGTGGTGCTGGCCAGCAGAACGACCAGGCGGCTTCCAAGGGTGCTGTTTACCAGCAGGCCGTGCAGAGCAAGATGGCCCAGAGCATGGCGAAGGAGCTAGGGTTCGATTCTCTAGTCGATAAATCTCGAGATCACATAGGCCTAGGATGTCGATTTAAGAACACGTGATTCAAAGTTTCGGTTCGAAATTGCAAGGACCCGGAAGTGATCACCGATCAGGCCTCCGAGGACAAAAGGTTGGCCCGGAACCTGTACATGCGATTCAGTCGCAGCCTGAAGAGCCGCCTGGCCCGCAATTATGGATGTACTCCAAAGCTTTCAGTACGTAGCTTCCAAGGTTTGTGGATTCTTGAATGCCATTTGTTTGGAGCGAGGGTTTAAAGCCCTGGGGTCGAGAGCATATGCATGTGTGTAAGCTTAATTGAGGCAATTAGGGTAGTAGCTGATCATGAAGTATAGTACTTATTAGTTAGGTTCCGAAAACCCGAAGAGACCTGGACTCGCGAAAGCCCCCCCAATGAACCAAAAAAGATATGCTAAGCTCTACAACAACCTAGCCTGTGATACATATCTTGATCCATGGACCACACCAATTAATTTCTCAATCACCTGCATTGCTTCTAGATTTCGAAAACCCCAGCCCTTGCTTGCTATAAGTCCTACTACATATGACCCTCAGGCACTTAATGCATGTATCGTAGCTCAAAGCCCCGGGACCCTGCTTCGAAACACCTTGACAGCCGATGCCCCGGCCATTTATCATTATATGATTAATTTATGCGGTTTATCAAACTCGCGACCTCTGATGCATCATAGCACCCCGCAACTTCAGAATGCTATCCCGTGGCCGAAACTCCGAATCCTGAGCCCCGAGCCAAACCGCGATGATACGCAGGTTAGACGACGATTTCCTATATATATATATATATATATATATATATATTACTTCGATATATATTTTTATATATGTAGGTACTAGTCGACTGTATTCTAATTATAATGGATACACGGTGGTCTATATTTATACATGTGATAATTTGCTAATATTTATATTAATTCATGTTAACGTTAACAATATTAGTCTGCACATTTAATATAGTCTACCGACGTACAGGTAGGTATATAGTACCGATCCAGGCGAGAAATGCCCGCCGGAAATCGTGAAGATGGCTGCTACGAAGAAGACGAGCAGCTTCGAAGCAAAGTTAGATGGAGCAATGGTAATATAACATGCTTTGATTTGCTGGCAGTTTGATGGAGCTTAATCGGTCCTTTATGTTTATTATGTACATGGTTGAAAGATATCTAGTTATGCTGGCACTGAGACCCGGCCATCCTGCAGACCCTCTTCTCGGAATACTTGGAGTGCAATGGGGATTGGTTATCCAGCCGAATCCACCTGACGATGAGCACCTCAAGCAGCAATGAGATTGCGGCCTCGGAGGAGTACATCCAGTACAGAGACTTGAAGAAGTCTCTTGGCAAAAAGGACTCCGATAGCTTGCGAGCAAGGAAAAGACTTGCACAACTTTCGTGCGGACCGAATGATGTTCCGTACGTCATGCGGCACCCAGACTTCCCGGATGACGATGAGCATCGGCTGCACTAGCTACGATGATATTTAATTATCTGCTGCTACGTAGCTACCAGGCCATTAAATAATTAGCTAGCAGCTACTCTGGCTGGTATAGTCTAATTTATGTATACGCACGATTGTAAGTAGCTATCTCTCGCTCTCTCTCTATATATCTTATTTTTAAAATATCTATATATATATATGTACATATATATAATATATAGCTAGCTAATATTTAACAGTACACGGCTACGGGGCCACGGCTAGACTGCTATACTATATATATGTACATTTATATATACATACATTAATTACTTAAATATAAATATTCATAATATATATATATATATATATATATATTGATATATATATATATATATGTACGTATTAATATTAAATAATCTAGCACGATAAATCACATGCTGCAGGAGCGAGAGCTCATCCGGACCTTTGCCTCCGCGACCGTCGTCAAGAAGACTACGAACGAGCAGACGTCCAAGCTGGAATCGAGCATGGACGTGGATGGCAACATGACGCGAGATGTTTTGTGCCACGACCATGATTTGAAATCATTTCTTTTAAATTTCTAACTTCGGAGTCTTAAGTTTTTCGGTTATTAATGCTGGTGAACTCAGGGCAGCTATGCCGTTGCCGGGTGCCGATGATGTGGGCGCTGCCAGTGTGTTCCCGAAAGCGACGGCTCCTGGACCATCGGATCAAGGGCCGGATGCTGCAGTGGCCGACGAGCCGAAGGAGATGACCCAATTGGCCAAAGACGGCTTGAAGAAGATCAAGACGTGCAAGACGAAATTGAAAGACTTGGGCGAACTCAAGGAGTCTTTGGCTGCCAAAAGTGGTGTGCAGCCCTGCCGCATTGATTGTGTTATGGGTGAATCTAGTCTTAAAATATTAGTAGATCTTAATATATGCGGGTGCTGGCAGTCGTGTGGCGATACTCGATCGATCTGGAGTTCGAATAATGAGCTGCATGGATCGAGTGTTAATGGGGTTTAGGGGCTTACGTAATACATACATATATATATATATATAGGGTTTAAAATTAATATATATATATATATGTATATATATATATGTATATATATATATAGGTTAACGGGTCTTATCAATATAATATAATAGCTAGCGATATCAATAGGTACGCGAGGACTGTCGTCCTGTAAAACGACGACTACTTACAAATCCTACATATCGCCCGGATACATACCCGTATATGTATATGTATATATGTATATACACATATACATATATATATATATATAACTGGATTTTATTATATATTATATAATTACGACGAATATATCAGTATCAGTACTAATACAAGCTCTGAAATTATCCCCAAAGCCGGCCCTTCTTAATACTTAAAACACCCCGCTCGGATGCAGGTCTGCTGCCATCCGCAACGCCCACATGGACGACCTGGTCCTGCACAGCCAGGCTATCGAGCTTGCGAGGGATGTCTTGCAGATGACGATCGACGAGAATGGCACCGACGAGGTGATCAACGGGAAGATGTTTGAGCTACAGACGGCGATTCAGGAGTACAGCACCGCCGCCACCACAATCAAGAAGTTGATTGTTTCTAGGCTACCAATACCATATTACACTGTTCTTTCGGGCTTTGGGTGTAGGTTCTGGGGCCGGGGTGTACGGGTGCTTATCTTGGGACCTGAGGCTGAGCCTAAGAAGGCCGCGAGCAAGAAGGCTGCCGCCAAAAAGGGTGGCCGCAAGAAGTGAGGCTACACGTGATGGCCTGGATTAGGTTCGCACATGAACTGGTGCTCTAGTGTATTTGCTGCCTTCGCTTGTTCACCGGCAACATGCATGATAAAATGCACCCACCATGAAGTGCAAGCCTAGCTATCGATATATTCTACTGCTGTGTTGCACATATCTAGATCGGCATAAAAGTGTTCCTATATGTAGCAACAACATATTAAAACCTAGCAGACAACGTGGGCCCCCTGCATGTTGGAATGAGCGAAGGAACGGCTGCTACTGTGTCATGGGTACAGGGCAGCTCGTATAGGGTTGGCAATTCAAGTGCCAGAAATGTGTGGGCACCACGGCCCATGACAAGAGCCCGGGCGAACCTGGGTTTTTTTCAAGCTATTCGGATGAGCTAGTACTTACTTGCTCAGTTGGAGCATGCTAGAAGTGCTTAAGCTTCAGCCTCGAACTACCCTGCTGGGACACGGTAGCTGCTGAAAAGAAGATGATCCTACTTTCGAGTTCCGAAATAAGTGCCATAAGCTCCAAATCTCCCCGTTCGCAGGTGATGACGAGTTAGGCCCGCTGTCCCGGCACATCCTAGAGAATGTGGGCAAAGGAGTCCGAGGCTTAGACCCCGAATTGCTACGTAAGTCGCATGACTGTCCGGACCCGTCCTGATCCTCCATCCGCCCCCCCGCCCACGCACACCAGGACCTCAGCTTCGCAGCAGCTCGTGAGTACTTTGAGAAATCAGACCAGGCCGGGGTATCAGTCGGGGATAGGGTACATGTTATATAGAGTACTAATTAAAGGTATGCAGTCCTAGTTTTTTTATTGGGGGGTTCGAAGTTTGTTGACCAGCTTAACTAGCCACCGGTACCCTAGAATCACAATATTACGTACGCTTCAATCGAGCCATGTACCCATATATCGATATTATATGCATGTATGGTATAGTACTCGGCACCAACTTCGTGAACCCCTGGGCCATGCAAGCATTAATATTATATATGTGTATACATATATACGTGTAATGGCTATTACGCATGTGCATGTTATATATATATACTGGTCATGACCACTGCAGCTATACTAATATATAATGTTTATTGTATTATATATATATACATTAGTTATAATATTATATAGTATAATTATAATATGGTCATGACCAGTTTTTATATAGATGTACATGTTTAATATATATATATATATATATATATAATACTATGGCACGCATGTGTAGCGACACATACCCTACGCAGGAGCTGAAGCGAAAAGGAGCCGAGCTCTCTTGAACGGCAGCAAAGCTTATGAAAGCTGGTGCTGAAGGACGCTGGTGCTCCAACGTGGAGCGAGATATGATTCGCACTTTAAATGGTTCGTTGCATACGGTGGCTGGCCTGAATGATTAAGGTGTTTCTCGCTAGCTATTATTGATTCATGACAATATATATATATAAATATTAACTAGATCGAATCGTATATGTTTATGAATGATCTATAGGTACATAGCTATATAGGGGCTCTATAATTAAGGTGCCGATGACCTATGTGAAAGTGCCGCTGTACAAGTCGAACATGGACCACGATATCGTGCACAGGCACTTCTATGCAATATGTTTATTAACATGGCGAGTCTACTAGTTAATATATAGCCTGCAAATTACAGCACAACCCGATGTTGCACGCAGGCAGCTGCCGATTATACTCCCGCACGAGTTGCTACGACACCTGGCTCAGTGCGACCACATTCCGGCCCAGCAGAGCAATGTGTACTGGCAACACATGAGGAAATTTGCTTCCTGGGGGTCCCAGCACCCCGCCGACGATGACTCGTTGCCTCTTTTCCTTTATGGAGATGATACCAACTTCAACCAGCAAGAGAAACTCAACTTGCTTTGTATGGGGTTCACTTTAGACGAAAGAACCAGCAGTATGGAGTGCCACTTTCCTTTGGCATGCATCCGAGATGTAGCTCAATGTGTTTTGTATGTTTTCGCATTTTTTATATATTCAATGCTAAACGTGCTTTGGGGGTGGCCAACTCCATTTGTGGGAGGCATTGCACACTGGCTACGAGACCTATCAGGCGATCCTTCGCCCGGAGCCTTGGCGATTCAGTTCGGTTCGTGTCTCTCATGTATATGACAAAATGTTAAGCAAACAACCGCTGCGACCCTGCCGAGATCGTGGCATCCCTGAATGCTTGTTTTCATGGGCTGCAACCTTCCGTGCCGATTCTGGCAAAAAACGGCGACTACAACCTCGACAGCTGCATGCCTGCTTTTGGGGATTCCCCGGTGCCGATTTACAGAAAGCCGGACGGTGAGTTGCTCAAGGCAACTTGCACTGAACTCCGGGGCGACTGGAAGTATTTCAAGGTACCGGTACACGAATTATTCATCAAAGCTTTCGTCCTTTCGAATTCGGCTATTCGATAATTTTACGCATATACCCCAGACCTTAATATGCTTCAACCCCAGACCCATATACGAGACGCCTAAACCCTAGCCCATCACTGAAGTTATCGAGGAATTGCTGGGACTTCGTGTGGGTTACAACTGCAAACGGATATGTCATCATTGCTATGTGGAGTCTGGCGATGGTTTCCTACACGTCCCTTCTACTGTGAGCTCGGACCCGCGACGGGACAAGAACAGCTTCCTCAACGATTGCTTGCAGCCCCGGAACCCAAGACGCTTGTTCGAACTTGATAAGACTAATAATTATTATTATTAAGTTAATATATATATATATATAGATATATATATATATGTTATACTATAGCTAGAATATTAATAATTACGTTAACGCAATTTCATATTGCTTGCTAGGTTGGGTGAGCGAATTGCTGGGATGGGACCACCGGATGATTCGGTGGTGTAGTTTACACACCTTCAACCTGGGTCCAGTGGTTTGGGCACTGGCCGGTGCATTCTACCTCATGATGCAACATGTTCCTGGTACTGCACAGTACACTGTTACGGTTGTTTGTTTTGTTTTCGCGAGTATAGTAAACGAACTGTGAAAGGTACGAGGGCCGCTAGCTAGCTGTTAGTGAGGAGATTTGGGGCCAGGGCAAGCAATCCGAGCAGCTCAAGACGGCATACGCCGACTTCCGCCAGTGGAGCAAGGACCACAGAATAACGTGCCTTAGATTGAGCAAAGTTCGAATCAAAAATAATTAATAAGGCATACATACGCGAGTTTTCGGGTTCCCTGCATATCAGGCATTCACAGCCGATGTTTCTGCCGAAGCATCTCCGTTCAAAAGACGGCGAAATGGAGTTCGCCGCAAAAGCCTACAACGCCCCTTCCCTGTAATAGTATAATCAGTGTACTAACTAAGGATTCCTTTAAGGGTCCTTTTAAAGGGCTCCTATAATATAAGGGATACTAAATAATCTGTAATTAATATATATATATATATATACTATATATAATATATATGATTATGTATATATATATATAGTGTATCTATGATCATGAAGATTAAAATTTGTTATGTGAACTACGATTTTCAGGCCAGAGTGATGTGCAGCTGGATGGCTGATGTTACGGTCAAACTGGCAGTGCAGAATCCCGACCCAATGTGGCGAGAGCTCGCCCAGTGCATGATCGACGGCTTGATTTAGTACGTAATTTGTATGCTTTATCTATACCGGTACCTGGGGTGTCGAGGCAGGGCTGGACCATTATTAAACGATCTGATTATCCGAGGTACTACATGTCCGAAATCTTCGGCATCATGGAAACTACTCCAAGGTATATGGGTGTACAGCAGATCGCCAAGATGGAGCAAGCTGCAGCTGCTTGAACTGCAGTTACGTTATAACTTAAATTACTTATCTATATAATATGTATAATTATTAAAAAAGAACATATATATTATATATAATAATTATATATATATATATATATATGTACAACACTAGTACTACATACATACTAAAATTATATATAGTCGATCGATGGAGTATACTCGCCATATCAGGATGCCGCGATGGCGGGCTACGCGATGATGGCTGCCCGCTGTGTTTCTATGTCGAAGGGCATGTTTCAGCTGCGACCAAAGCTGCACGTGCCGCGGCCGGTAGAGTATTTTATTTTTCTATTAATATATAATCTATGTATGCATGCAGATAACGTCGTACTTGTACGATCTTATATTAATTTTAAGTGCCAGGGCCTACAAGAAATGGTGTGGTTTGCTGCCACAGAAAGCGACTGGTTGGTATTCAGCATAAGATTTTATATATGTACGTTTTGGTAGCTTAGCTTATTAAGTAAGGCTCGAATCAAGCCGGGGTCCTTGTAACAGGCTTACAGAAGCTTATTATAACCCTCAACCCGGCCCTACTATAAATTGTGTAATTTCTAGATCTGCGCCAAGGATACAATTGGAGATTTTATCACACTTTTTCTTCAGAGGACTTTAACGGTCGTTACATCAGAACCTTGTCGGCAATACGGCATGCTAGAATATATCCTAGGCCTAGCTAGCTACTTAATGAATTCGCATCCAAGGCATCGCTTCAGCGGCTCATCCACGGAGCATGGAAAAATCCTCCTTACGGAGGTACTACATCTGGCTGCTCGGCCTAATTACGAAAATCGTTCATACGTATGGTTTTCAATACTATATTAGTAGTATATACGTTGGGTTGAGGTCTTCCGGGTCTTATATATTATGTAAACCCCTGCTACCCCAGGACCCGAATTCAAAGACCCGTACTTTAATGTAAGATAAGAGTGCCAAGGCTCCAGATGAAGGTCGATCATGCCGACGACAGCAGGGGTTCCAGCTGAAGAAAAACGAGAGGGTGTGGGCACAGGGTGGGGTTTTAGTTCGCTAGGCCCATAAAGCCAGCCCCGTGAACACTAGTTTATATAGCAGCTTTTAGGGGTTTTGGGTTCGGAGGTTAGCCCGGAGCAAAGCGGTATCCGAGTTACAGCTAGGTGGCAGCACAAAATTAACAATCCCTCGTAAACCTACGATAGACCCCCAACTTCCCTAAATGTCGAAAGCATCCTGGAAGTCCGGAAACCTTGATTCCTATGCATTTCCGTATTGCTATAGCACTTAAGCCGCACCCCGTACGCCTCAGATCAAAATTTTCGGATTTGGGTGGAATTCGGGATCTATCATTCTGAACGCTTTAATTCTAATGTCAGCCAAGCATCCAAGCGACTCGTCGCAGTCCCAGGAATCGGCTAGAGTAGCACATGTATTAGCTTACAGGATTACACAGATATATCGTGAAATGCCTGGCATCGTTGTTTTAAATAGTAGACTACATAGCACAATATGCCGTATAATCTGCTTAAGCACATACATATGTGATAAACATAAATATATAGCTGTATGCATGCATGCGAATTTTATATCAAATTTGCAGATGTATGGTACATCGAATAAATTCAACACACGCATGTGTGTCGTGGTGTCTCGTGGTGTTGTTTTTTGTGCTATATGTCAGGTTGTGCCATTTTTCGCATGTGTATATAATGTGTGATGATACGTTCGATCTGTATTTTGTGTGAATTTGTGTGATCTTGAACTCAGGCTCTGTCTGCTGGATACAAGTTGTTTGCACGTTTTTGCATCGATAATAAATCTGTGCATCTCTCGTGTTGCTTGGACGATGAACACGGAAAACGTGTTTTTGTAAACGCTGTGATTTCAAGGTCCCAAAAGTTGCCCAGACTCCATTTTCGTCCCAGACACCATTTTCGCCCCAGGGAGGTGTCGGAGACCCTATCTTAGCCATCTAACCACATTCACGCAAGGTGTGTGCCATACACACACCTAAGACCCTTTGGGCAACAAACTGGGGAGAATTGAGCGGCTCCTGGAGTTGTTTGGCAAGGTCAAAACCGAGGGGTCGATGACAAAGCACTTTGGGCAGGTGTTGCTCGGACTGCTGCGTTTTGCTGCAGGCTCTTGTGTGGGCATGTCGCTTAATCACGTTTGCGCTGACTTGAATAGGATAGTCCATGCTGAAGCTTTTCCTTCTCCTGAGGAGTTCGCAAAGCTTTGTGATCGGGCTTTAGAGTTTCTTGGCAGTGCCCGTCCTATAGGGAGGTGTCAGTGTCCGATCGAAAGGAGGTGGTTCACATCTTCACGGACGGATCTCTCGAAGGCGATTTCGCTGGCATAGGGGCCGTGCTGATTGATTCAGCCGACGGCTTCACACGAGTGCTGCAAGGCGAACTCCCGTCTGAGCTCAGACGTGCGTGGCGAGACGAGGCCAACGAACGCTTGATCTGCCAGGTCGAGTTGTATGCTTGTTTGCAGGGAGCGCTTGGAGGGCAGGAGAGTTGTCTATTGGATAGACAACGAGCCTGCTCGTTTGGCACTTGTGAAAGGCGTAAGCAAGTCAAATATTATGGATCGTATGCTGCGCGAGCTGTGCCGTCTTGAAGACAACATGGTCTCCTATGCGTGGTACACGCGAGTACCGTCCAAGTCAAACATTGCAGATGGACCCTCAAGGGGGAAGGGCGATGAGGTGGCCAGGGCTCTGGGCCTTGCGTGTGCAGAGGCGTTCCCGAGGAACATTCCGTGGCAGCACTTGTTATGGGGGCAATCGGGTGCTTAGCACATAGCGGAATCTCTTTACCGCAAGCCGCTAGTGTGGAAACTCATCCACACGTGTTATGTGCTGACACGTCGTGTGCACAAATTTTTCTGCGAACAGCTCCTTTCGAGTGCTCGGACAAAAGAAGACCACGTCAGAAGTGCACCAAATATATTCGGGAGCAATTTTTATAATCGGCTCCAATACTTATTATATTCTTGGGCATTTTACATATTGAGCCCGGATACCGCTTTCTGGACCTTTGTGCAATATACGGTTCTGGAGTTTTGGGCTCAAGTGGGGAGGGGCTCCGCGTGCCTTGAGCCGGTTAACCTGTACTTTCCCGTGTGCAGGGCCGACACTCCTCACACGTGTCTTCGGACCATGGCTCCTTCTTCTGGAGGCCCTGATTGTGGGTTCTACCTACACTTACGGCGATCTTTGAAGCGAATGCATCGTGCTTTATGTGATGGTGCTTCTTTGTTGGGAAAAGAAGCGTGGGGCAAGGCATCCAGGGTAACTCTTGCCTGGGATGCACAACCGTGGGTGACCCAGCGGCTACAGAAGCTGGCTGCTGACATCGTTCGAGCACGTGATCTTTGGCTTCTTTCGGTCCAGAAGGATTTTGATTTCTTGGCGCAGCTCAATGTGCCAATTTCCATGGTGTGGTGCGCTGTTGGGGCCTGGGGGCTCCGACCAGGGGCTTCAGAGATGGACAGCTCCGATGGCACGTGTGCTGGCGGCAACCTGATTGCTGCTGGCTGCAACCTCTTGGTCCTCGGGGATGGATCACGAGTTTGGGGCAACTCAAAACAAAACTGGATTATCTCAAATGGGAGGCACTGCTCTCAAAGATATGTTCGAAACGGATAAGCTTCGACTCCAATCGTAATATAAAATAAAAATTTCCGCAGATCACAGCATATGTTCCAACGGACATGTGAAGTGCAATCGCTCTCGCTCGGACACCTTTTGGCTGCGAAGCCGATCGGGGGAATTCGTGAAACGATACCGGTTTGCCCCGACTTCGGCACAAGGCCTACGAGATCTACGGGGCACAATATCCCCCCCAAGGGAGGGTGGGTGGGTGCAAAAATTTCATGAATGATGGGCCCCGCCCGTCTGTTGCTTGAGAGGGCGAGCGCGGCCATGCTGAATGAGATCAAGCCACATGGTGGATCCCGCATGCCGAAAAACGCCAAAAATCATTCATGAAAGACTCACCGTGGAAATCAGCATGTAAAAGAAAAGTTTGTTTGGGGTGAAACGATAACAAACAGCAAGACTGTACACGTTACTAGAGTCGCCCCGGCTCGCTACGCGAGCCTACAGTTTTGTCTACTTAGAAAGCGCTACCGACAAGTCGGAGCGGTTCTTCTAATTATACAAAACTGGGGCAGCTCAAAACAAAACTGGATTATCTCAAATGGGAGGCACTGCTCTCAAAGATATGTTCGAAACGGATAAGCTTCGACTCCAATCGTAATATAAAATAAAAATTTCCGCAGATCACAGCATATGTTCCAACGGACATGTGAAGTGCAATCGCTCTCGCTCGGACACTTTTTGGCTGCGAAGCCGATCGGGGGAATTCGTGAAACGATACCGGTTTGCCCCGACCTCGGCGCAAGGCCTACGAGATCTACGGGGCACAGTATCCCCTCGACGATTGGCTAGGTGCCCCGAGTACGCGAGCTCCCAGACAGGGCATCAAGCTGACGACGGTCAAGGCCTCTGCTGAATCGCCTCTGCTTGGTCCATCCGCGATGTTAGAAAAAGATGGGACCCTTTCGTACCAGCTATACGGAGGTGCCTTAGAATCCGCCAGTGCAAAGGCCTGAATCAAGGATGACATCGAGGGACTGTCCGAAATGCCCTTGATCAAGCCATAGCGAGCCGATTCGTTGTCAATCCACCAAATCAAGCGTCTGTGATCAAAGGTGGAGGCCAGGGCCCATCTGAGGCATACAACAGCGTACAACTCGATCTGGCAAATGAGCTGAGTCCCGACATCGGCCTCCCATCGGAGGATGAGTGGCTCTGGGACTAGACCCTCATAAGTCCACGACTTGCCCGAAGCTGTATCAAAGATGACGGCACCAATGCCCGCTCGGCCACGCTCCCACGCACCATCCGTGAAGATGTGTATGGGAGCCCGGCTGTCCCATACACTGAGCACACGGGGGCTTAGCGCCCGGAGGGCCTCAATGCTGTTGACGCAGAAGCTGCGGATCGCCTTCGGAGAACCGGGGCACGATGCTTTTGTCAAGCGAAGGAGCTCCTGGCAAGTCAAGCGCAAGGCCCGACCATTCACATAACCAGCAGAGAAGTTCAAGAGCCCATGGGCAACTTGCGCCTCATGCACCGTGATGGCACCCCTGTCAAGAAATCCCTGAAACAAAGACACAAGCTGCTCAATGCGTCCGGCTTTGTTCTGAAGGGTCAGGCGCCCCCTGTGAACACCGTCAAGTTGCATCGACATCCCAAGGACCTCGAAGCTTGCCGCAAAGGGAACTCCTTTAGTGTCTTTGCCCATGCGGGCATGACCCCAGCCCAGAAGGTCAAGCAGTGCGGTTGTGGCCCACGTGGCGCTGTCACTTGTGTGGCTCGGTGACAGAAGAGGGAAGTCGTCGTAGAACATTGAGCTTGGCACAAGCAAGATTTGGTTTAACAGAAAGGAGATTGCTTTTGACACCCTGTTGAATGCAAAAACCGACGATGTGCACCCGAATAACAGCGAATGGCTCACATAGTACCTCGGCTTACCTCGTTCATCAAGAAAGAAGACCACCGAGACCTGCAGGTCGCGCTCGGAAACACACATCTGTTTGTAGGCCTTCGTTAGGTCGAGGCACCTGGCGACCCAGGGCACGGCCTATGGTTTGGAAGGGTCGGCCAGGATGCGTCGCGCGACCTCGAGGGCCACGGCAGACAGGTAGTCGGCGTCCTCAAGTTCGAGTCGCATCGTCGATGTACTGGCACTGTTCACAAGCGCTTCCTTTGCATCATCAATGGGCCGAAGCTTCCCGGGTTTTTGCTCCAAAACAAACCTCCGGATGCACGACCAACGGGTATGGCCGAACAGCTGGGACACTTGATCTTCCGAGTAGGGTCCTAGCATGAACCCCAGGTCTACCTCTTCCTGGCATGCCTGCTCAAGGTGGGCAAGCTGAGCTGCATCCGGAACCCTGGTGCCGGGTGTTGTGAGAGCCCGCCGCCTCCAGTCGGCGGAGTCAAGGAACTCGTCCCTGGACATGGTAGCAGGAACAATCTTTTGCGGATAGCAAGGAGGGGTGTCCTGAAACCCAACGAGGTCAACACCCTTTTCCATGAGCTGGACTACCCCCATATCCCAGTACGCATGCTCCTTGAGGAGTGCCTCGAAGAGCGAAAGGTTCTTGCTTGCAAACTTTCTTCATATGATCCGGCAGGGCCTGGTGCCTGGCCTTCTCAGAGCAGCTGAGCTTCTTGACAAGAATTTCAGCCTTAGCAATCGCCAACTTCCTTTTGAGCTCTAAGACCTTAGGGGGTGTCGTCATCACAGCTTCGAGGGCATCCAGAAAGTGTTTGGACAGCGGTCTAGCAGCATCAAGGGGGTGAGGGCAGCTTAAGGCTTTACTCAGAAACTCTGAGGGAATATCCCCAGTTTCCACTGCTTTCCCGAAACCTCGGGTCCATCCTCGGTAAAGGGGCCTACCGCCGCCGTTGAAGCCTCCTTAACTCTGGAAAGCGGCCCGGGGGTAGCATTCCGAGCCTTGGCACATTGGAGCAGGCAACCGGCGAGGCGATGGCAAAGGACCGGAGGGTAGGCTGCAGGGGCGGCCCAGGGTCCGGGGCGCGGACCATGCCAATGCTTGCCGTCGCAGGCGACGGCCAAAGCGTCGAAAACTCGAGCCGTGCAAAGGAGACGGGTCAGGGCCCGACTCGACCCCCCGTGCATACAGAGGGGAAACACGATTTTGTGGAGTCCAGCCCATTTAAATAGGCCCTCGGCAGGCACACGCGAACGGGCCAACGACGTGAGCAGGGCCCAACTTTCACTCCGGTCAGGCTGCTCAAGGGACACTACGACGTCCCGTTGGATGCACCAGCCGATGATGTCACAACAGAATCGCGCAAGAGCCTCATGGTCAGCAAGATTCGGAGGCGCGAGATGCACGGCAAAGGGTTTTCGGGCCTGAAGCACATCCCAGACAACCGACTGACCGGAAGCAGCGGCCAGGTCAAGCTTGCAAACTGGGGCCTTAGGGTGATTGACATAATGATCAAAGGTAACGACCTCAAACCCAAGGTCAGGCATGGCCCGAGACAGCCCCGCGGAGCCAGCAAAAAGTTCGATGAACAAGGGTCGCCGGGAAGGTTGATGTAGCTCACCAAGGCCGGTGGCGGCAGGCCCATCAACACCCGTAGAAGGTCGGCAGGCAGGGCCTAAACCACTAAGGGAAACCTGAGCTGGGGAGGACTTGGTGTCAGCTTCACTCGAGGCCCGAACGGGAACCAAGTTTGAGCAGCAAGTCAGCGTCAGCTTTCGGGAGTTTACACGCATCTCGAATCGAATAGGCCGCGAGGACGATCCGAGGGCCTTTAATTTGGACCAGGGCAACGTGCAGTGCAGATTGCATGGATCAAAGTACAGGCAGCGCTCAAGCTCGCGAGTGGTACCCTGATGCACCTTGCCTTCGAACTGCATGGACGACGAGCCCTTGGGGTCGGCGACCCAAAGACCTCCACCCTCAAAATCTGAACATCGGATCAATGCGCTGAGGCCGGTGTTATTGCGATCACGATGCATGTGGGCGAGGTTGTCCCGAAGAAGCACAAGTGATGTGAATGGAAAAGAGTCCCCGATGAACTGCTTGGCAAAACGTGCAGGGAGCTGGGTGCAGGCAGGCAGGGTTCCGGTATTAGCAAAAGTACCCGTGACTCCCCCATGGACATAGGCACCGCAGCTGAAAAGGAATGCGCTGGGGCCGCTCGACGGCCGAACTGGAATCGCAAGGCAAAAGGAATGACAATTGAGCCACGGAAGATGCAGAGACCTCGGCCTTCGCCAGGAGGTTCAGCGCATAGCTCTCAGCATCCTGTGGTTCGGGGCCACTGAGGTCCCCTGGAGAAATCGGATTGGGAGACGCGGCCCACTCGGGCAGGGTCTCAGGATTCGCGGGGGCCCCCGCCTTTCAGGCGGGATCAGTGTGAGTGCACTCGATGAACGGCACTGGCCTGCCACACCCCCGGTAATAGCACCCGTGATAGCCCGGCCCTGATTCCACAGAAAGCACCAAGGTTTGCCGTCCTCGCTCTTGGGAACACATCCATCGGGCAAGGTGTACTTAGGAGCCTTCCCATCCTCTTGGTTCGGATCAGCGGTCTTACCCTTTCCTTTCCCCTTGGGAGTCGGCTTATGCGGGAGCCTTGGATCGGGATGGGGCCGCTTCGTCGGGTGAGGCATCGGAGGAGGCTTCACAAGCGGTAGCAGGTGCACCAGCACGTCAGTGCTTTTGCTTAGGCTTTCGATTTCAAGATCGAGGGGACGAACAGCTCCGGCCGACGCTTGAATCTGGCCCATAAGGTTGTGCGACAGCAGCTGAAAGAGCTCCCGATCGGCGGCCATAATCTGCGAGAGAGAGAGAGAGAGAGACTGAGTGATACCCCGTTGGAGGCTCCCGCTGCATTCTTGAGAACAAGCTTTGAACCCAGGTCTCCAACACAGTGAACGAGGCAAGCTGAGCAAGTTCCATGGCGAGAGACCTCCGGGTCCAAGCTTGCCTCAGCTGCATGTCAGTGCTGATAGAGCACCTCAGCTCAACCTGCTTAGCAGCGAGCTTCAACTCGTTTCCCTGTGCCTGCAAGGTCGGATCCCTCTTATTGGAGTCCATCTCCTGTGCTCGGCTGATGCATGCATCCGGCTTCACGTATGTAAGCACACCTGAATCAAGCTGATCAACGAAGTTATCTACCAGACGGTTGGCCGGAAGAGTGTCGGGGGTCAAGATGAGCCCAGGCAGCTTACGACGCAGAGCCTTCAGCCTCTCAGCCCGCTCGATCATTGGCAGCTTACGAGTGGGGGCCTCGCCTGGGGCCAGGTTGACCCGATCACGCATTTCAGCAATCGACATGGATTGCGCTTCGAAAAGTAAACGGCGCAGCACTGACATTTGGTGCTCACTCGGCAGCGGATCTGCAAGGTGCAATGCCCACCTGGAGACAGCCTCATCGCTTGCCGCGCCCGGGGTCGAGGACACAGCAAAGGCAAGGGACCCAAACGTCGTGTACCCGGCTCGGGCCAGTGCATCTCTCAACTCGTTCGACAAACCAACCTTGGCGAGCCGCTCGAGGAAGTAAGCAGAGGAGTCGAGACCTGAAGCCATGATCAGCGCAGGATGCTAAATGTAGCAGACAGCAGCATGTTGTGGGTGTTTGCCAGCATCCTACTTCAGCGTCTCGTGTAACATGAAATCCTCCATGACTGTCGCTACCTCTTCAGATTGACTCGTGACTCCTGAGCCTACGGGCAGCGAGCGGCAAGTGACATGCCAACGCTCGCTATCCCGGCTCCTAAGACGGCGCATCGATTGGGTCGTCTCCCCTCAGGAAGACTACGCCCACGCACTCACACAAGAGTCGAAGAGAGCATGACAGACTTGAGACCAGCAGTTCTTTTTGCCGTACCGCCTCAACGGATTCATAGAACTAGTCATCTACCAGGCCTAAAGCTCTAGAGCACTAATGACACGCAGTTGGGAACTCAGCAGCAACGCCGGCTTCGGCCAGTGGCGTGTAGTTCGAACTTACAGGCCTGTGGCACCAAAGCATGCCGGAGTCCTTGACAACATGTGATATGCCGGAAAACCTGTGCACTAAGCGATCCGGGAACGCCCCCCGCACTAAGTCTGGTGCGTGCCGCTCGCCGTGGCCCTCTAGGATCCCTGCATGGCACGTTTCCGCTTGCGGATAACTCTTTCCACCTAAACTACAAGGTTGTTTTATTTGGGGGTAATATTTAACCCTCAAAATGGCGACAACCGAGAACCGAGTAATTGCATCGTTTCAAACTTTTAATTTTGTGTGAAAGCATGATTTTCTCACACAAAGTTTTTCCTTCTTTACAACGGCTTCATGCAGTATTTCTCACGCATGCCGAAGTTCTGAATCTTTCAATGCACCGGCGATTCTTACAGATCAAGCATTTTGGCTCAAGATCAAGTGACATTTTGTCACTGCGGAAAATTTTTGTGTCAGGCTCTCTAGAGTCCCGTAGTGTGCTGGCTACTAGCCTCCAGGTGCTAATCTCAAGGCTTTAGCTGAGTGCACGGTGCCCCCCCGTTGGGGGTGCTAGATGGACCGAGCAGAGCCTGCGGCTTATAAGCCTGAGCTCCCGCCTCCTGAGTCCGAACTCGGTGGCCTCAGTGTGACTCGCAGCTTGAAGTGAGCCGCTTTCAGTTGCATCAGCATGAGTGAAGCCGCTGTGTCTGGAACCGACAACCTTTCGCAAGGATCCGAGCTCGGTGCTGTTCCCCTTCAACATCTGTCGCGTCAGGTACTTTGGAGGCATACTTCCTGCCAGCCTTGCCAGGCCGCGCTGCGCACCAGTGCTATCGTTGCAGAGCTAGCTCAGCGCCGCTACGCGGCATGCATGTTGTCTTCGGTTCAGGAACCACAGGCTGAGAAGCAGAACAGGATTTTGTGGCGTCGCATCGACGCCTTTGAGGATTCTTCTGACTGCGAGTCGGTGGTCGCTTCCGAGACGGGCGATTCCTTCGAGGAGGCCCGCCCGCATGCCGTTGTCTTCGCTGGGCTTTCGTCTGAACGAAAGCGAGAGCTTTGTGGATGCAGCTTGACAGCCAGCACTCGTGCTTTTCGACCTGTTTCTCGCAGGAAACGCCCGGCCAGTGTCAGTGTTGCTTCGGAAACCATAGCTCTTTCTGGTCGCTTGGATCATGTCGAGTCTTTCACTGGTGCCATTATCGACGAAAATTTTTCGAGGAGCTTGGACAGGCGTGTTGCTCGTCTCGAAGCTGCTGTGCTCGCCCTTCGTGGCGCTGGCCCTAATCCCTAACCTGCCTAGCCGATGCCCTTGTTTTCCGGCGGACCCTCAACCGAAGCCTGCGCTGAGCTGCACATGTAACAACTGCCATCTTTCTTAGAGGACAGCGCGATTTTGAGCTCGTGGGGCCATCCAGCTTGAAAACTCGCGGCTTGCCAAGCTAATCAAACTGACATGTTGCCTGTCGAGCATGGGCTGCACTTTCTCGCCAAGGAAGGCTGTGCCTGCTGCCTGCGAGTTTTTGTTTCGAGCCGTTGACTCAGGTTCTGCTTTTGCCATGGCTTCTCCTGCAGCTGATTCCTGTGAACTAGTGGGTTCTCCGGCACACGAATCCTTGCAGGCTAACCCTGATGAGGGCGTTCGCCCCGTCGAGGCCGATCAAGCTTGGCCTGAAAAGTCTCAGGGAGAGGTCGAGCCGGGCGATCTCGAGTTTCAACAACATCTTGAGGACTTGCTGTCACAGGCTGGCAGTGTCGCTAGAGACCCGCTTGATCCACCTGCTGCTGACGAAGACACCTTCCTTGGTGTGAGTGGCTGGAGTGATCTTGGGTCGGCGGCCGAGGAGGCGTGGTACGGCGATGTGCGCCGGCTGGGAAGTGATGAAGCTGAGGCTTCTGTATGGTCGGTTGTCGAGCGTGGATCCGAAGCTCCGAAACTCCTGGCGTCGCCAATGGACGACAGGGATGTGCAAAGGGTCGCGGCGGAGCTTGAGAGGAAGCAGGCTGCCGAGACAGTGCCAAAACAAGCCTGGGAGCTCCCAGGCAGATTGAGCTACGCTTGGGAAGTTAAAAGACCTTGGAGGCTCATTGGCATCCCCGAGGTTGCTACCTCGCTGGACCCCGAGCCGGCATTGGAGACGGAGCTCAAGCTGAAGCTGAACCCCATGGTTCGAAAATACTTGGAACGGATGCCTGTGCAGAGGTCCGAAGAAGAGGCTAGATCACATGCGCTAAAGAACTTGAAATTTATGATCCTCTTCGACGTCGAGGCCACTCAGCTGGGGATGAGCCTCGCAGGCTTGGTTGGTCGTGCAGCTGAGGAGGACGAGATCAAAAGTTCTTTCGTAGCAGCTTTCCGCTTGAAGGCCACCAGCACCCTCAGCAAGAGAACTTCCGCACTCATGAAGTTTTTCAGGTGGGCACTGAACGGTTTCTTGCACTCGCCGCTCTCTTTCAGTGAACAGCACCTCTTCGACTACATGAAGGTCTTCCAAAACGGCCAGGGGGGCCCTACTTCGGCCTCCCATTTCCTGGAAGCTCTTCGCTTTTTGCATGGGGTGGCTGTATTGACAGGCACGTCGCCCTCGACGATTGCATCAGTGCAAGGGTCAAGGGCTTGGCAGCAGACCTGTACTTGACAAAGGCCCCACTGAATCAACGGGACGAGCTCACTCTTAAGATGGTCATGACACTTGAAACAACTATCGACCTGGAGGGCGACCGCGATGCTTGTATCATGGGGCAACACTTATTCTGCCTCCACTCGGGGGCGCGGTGGACGGATTCGCAGAGGCTGAAGTCTATCGCCGTGCAAACCTCCCATGGCGAGACCTTTGTGATTGCGGAAGGGCTCACCTCGAAGACTTCGAAAACTCAGGAGGCCAAAACCCGGCTGCTGCCCTATGCTGCGATTGGGTCGGGTGTGAAGCTGCCGTGGGCAAACCGTTGGCTTGAGGCGCGCCAAAACCAAGGATTGAAGCTCGAGACCTTCACCCTGCCGGGCTGGTCGGAAACTTCCGGAAAATGGACCTCCCTGCCGATGTTGGCGGGAGAGGCTACCTCGTGGTTGCAGGATTTCCTTTTGAGGGCTGGCTTCGAAGAGGAAGAAGTGCTGAAGCGCGGCTCTCACTCGCTGAAGGCGACTCTCACTACTTGGACCTCCCGGTGCCCAACGGTCAGCTTCTCCTCTAGCGACCAGAGGTTGGTGGGACATCACGTCAAGCCCAAAGACAAGTCTCCCTTGATCTACTCTAGGCAGGCATACACCGCCCTGTACGGCAAGATCCTCGCGATGTTCATTGACATTCGTGAGGGTCGCTATGATCCGGATTTGCCGGAAGTTGATAGAGTCCTTGCTGCAGCCGCTGAAAACTCGCATAAAAGGCCAACTGAGCCTAAGGCAAACACGATCCCTCCCGCAATCGGGCCCCTCGAAGAGGCTAGCGGGGAGGAGGGTGGCTCGACTTCCGAAGGGAGCGAGGAAGCACTCTCGGGGGAAGACCGAGCCGACGTGGCGAGAGCACCATTTCAGCAGCCGGTGGACTTGGAACTTGTTTATGTGCACCGAGTGTCAGGCGTTGTGCACTGCCTGAAGGACCCTCGAAGCACGGATTTCTTTTGTGGTCGTTTCTTGACCGCAGCGTACATGAAATTCGGAAGGGCCGGCGCGGCAGCAGCAGATCCAGATTGCTGCATTCAGTGCCGGAGAGCGCGCGACCGGGAGCCGGTTTGAGGCGAGCTTTCGACAACCAGGGGAGATCTGGGCCTAGGCCCATCCTCGGCACCTTTGCCTGCATGCAGCATAGGCAAAACATGGTGTGTCGTCCTACGGAGTTGGCAGCCTGCAGATTTCGACTGTTTGTTTGTGTGAGGCGCTTGACTCAAGTCACTTAGCGCTAGAGGGTTGCGAGCATGGCCGGAGTGACGCTGGACTCGGAAGCTGCCTTTAAAGAACGTGCCTTGAAGGTGGGACTCTCTGCTGCAAACCACGCCACCTTGGAAGCGCAGGGGTACAGCACATTTGGCGCCTTGGCTTTCGCAGTTTCAGCCTCACCCAACAGCGTCAGTGAGGAAGAGGTCAAAGAATGGATTCGTGCAGTCTTCACACCGGCACCCGAGCATCACCAGGTTTCCTGCCTGCGACGCTTGCTCTTCGAGGCCCAGGCCCTCTCAATCAGTGATATGAAGAACCGTGTGGAGCCCTCGAACGATTTCGTCACGAGGAAGATGCCAGTAGCCGAGCGCCTTGCCAGGCAAAAGGCGCAAGAATCCCGGCTTACCGGGATACACTTTTCGCCGGAAACCACACCATCCCATGGCGTGGTAGATCGACTTGTGGAAATGCTCGAAACCGGAACGCTTGTATACCTTCCTCCCGGTAAGTATCTCTCAAGGGCTGTTTCATGTGTTTACTCATGGGTGTTTTACTTTACCGCGTTCCAAACACAACATTTCGGCCCAAGACACGCGTGCTTCAACACAGCATAAGGCTTCGCTTCATGCTTTAAAATTTTGAACAAGCAGCATATTGCTTTTACTTTTGCATGCACATGCTTTACTTCAACACGCGTCAGTTTTGCAATCTTTAGGACGACATTAGCTCCAC